CCAGCGAGAGGCGGTCCCAGCTCAGCCAATGAGAAACTGTCCCAGCTCGGCCAATGAGAGGTAGTCCCAGCTCAGCCAATGAGAAGCCGGTATATTTTGCGCTCCCAGTTTATTCCAATAGACTTCTTGTTACACCAATCCTCCCAAATTCCGCCTTCCTCCGTAAGAGCGGACCTCTCCTTTGTTTTAGGGATTCACCTCTCGTTTTGCCTGAACCTGGGTTGTCTCCGACTGCATTTCTCTACTATTCCTGAATAGACCCATTTTGCTAATAACCGGCAGTTTTATTTTTAAAGGCAGCAGGTCCTTTTGTTGCCAAGCGTTGTGCCAGGATGTGGGCGCTCCGGTTTGTTTAACCATTCACCCGCCGAAAGGCGGCCAGGCTGTGTCCACTTACGGGCTATTAGAGTGAAGCTGCCATGAAATTTCATGTACAGGTTTCTGTGTGAACATACGTTTTCATTTCTCTGGGATAAATACCAAGAGTGCACTTGCTACATTTAGTCTTACAGGAAACCGCCAAATTGTCTCCTGCGGGGGCTGTAGTACTTTGCATTCTGGCCAGCGACGGATGTGAAATCCAGTTTCTCCACATCCTCACCAGTACTTGATGTTATATTTTTTAATTTTAGCCGTCTGATCATTGTGCGCTGATCTCTCGTGGCGGTTTCAATTCGCACTTCCCTGGTGGCTAATGGTGTTGAGCACCTTTGGATGTGCTTAAGACATCTGTAGACCCTCTTTGGGGTGGAGTTTGTCCGTGTCTTTTCCTCATTTTTTAATTGGATCCTTTGGGGGTTTGTTGTTGTTTGGTGATTCTTGTTGGGATTTGAGAGTACTTTGCCTATCCTAGATGCGAGTTCTTTGTTGGGTAGATCGTTTGCCAACATTGCAAATATTTTCTGCCAGTCTGTAGCTTTTTTTTGTTTTTGTTTTTGTCTTCTTCTTCGTATGAGCTTTCACTGGGAAAAATTCTGATTTTGATGTGATCAATTGATCAATTTTCTCTTTTATAGATCATGCCTTTTTTGTCAAACCTAAAAATTATTTGCCCTTTCCTAGATCCCGAGGATTTTCCCTCTGTTTTTCTTTTCTTTTTTTTTTTTTTAAAGATTTTATTTATTTATTTGAGAGAGAGAATGAGACAGAGCATGAGGGGGGGAGGATCAGAGGGAGAAGCAGACTCCCTGCTGAGCAGGGAGTCCGATGCGGGACTCGATCCTGGGACTCCAGGATCATGACCTGAGCCGAAGGCAGTCGCTTAACCAACTGAGCCACCCAGGCGCCCCTCCCTCTGTTTTTCTTTAAAGTTTTATTGTGTTACGTTCTCCATCTAAGTTCATGATCCTTTTTTAGGTGTGATGGTTTGGTGAAGTGGGTTTCTGGATTTTTGTGCTTTTTGCCTATACGATGTCTAATGGTTCCAGGAAGACCGTCCTTTCTCCACGGAATTTCCTTTGCTCCCTTGAGATAAGTTAGTTGAGCATATTTGTGTGGGTCTATTTCTGGATTTTGTCTTCTGTTCTATGCTTTACCACTAACAGCCTACTGTTGACTGGAATCCTTACCAATAATATAAACAATCAATGAACACATATTTTGTATGTTCTATGGATCATATACTGTGTTCCTACAATAAAGTGAGCTCGAGAAGAGAAAATTATACTAAGAAAATCATAAGGAAGAGAGAACACATTTAGAGCGTTGTTCTGTGAACTATCCACCTATCGGGGACCCGCACAGTTCAAGTCCAGGTTGTTCAAGGGTCGACTATATAGTCTTTTCACTCAACACAACCAGACCTCCATCCTGTCTCGCGCTCACCCATTTGCCTGTGGCTCACGGTACAGATGCTCAGCTAAGTATCTCGTTTAAAGAACCACAGTTCTTGAAAACTTCAAATTTTGGTGAGTAAGTGCATAGTAAGTTTATTCTGGGAGAGATGTTAAGATACCCGAGAACTTGGGGTGCCTGGGTGGCCCAGTCTGTTAAGTGTTGACTCTTGGTTTCTGCTCAGGTCATGATCTCAGGGTTGTGAGACTGAGCCCCACGTCGGGCTCTGCACTCAGCAGGGAGTCTGCTTGAGATTCTCTCTCTCCCTCTGTTCCTCCCCCTGCTCATTCACTCTGTCTCTCTTTCTCAAAGAAATTGATTAAAAAAAAAATACTTGAGACCTTATTTGGCTTTCTGAAAACCTTCCAGCAAAAATTATTTTATTCATGAATTAAATGTACAAAATATAAAGCTGCATTGTCATGCTAATTACTTATGTATAAACAGTAGCAAAATTTATAAAATAAGAAAATTCAATCTGATTTAAGAATTTTTGTTGACTACTAAATTAAATGTTAAAATTAAACATAGTTTTACCTAAACGATACTAAATAGTAAGTGTGTAATATTATAAATTTCAGTTTATGCAAAAAATATTAGCAAACATTTTAAACCGGCAAGTGCCACCATGCTTTTAGATTAAATGCTTAGAACCTTAAGGCATAATAAATCCATCTTTTTCTTAATATAAAGTATGTCACAATAATCTGGAGTTAAATTTTTTTGAAACAGGAAAAATTATTTCTACAAAGATTACAGGACCAAGTAAAGGAAGACTTTGAATTTCTGCTAGGTAGAGTCTAAATAGTTGATTTCAATCGAAATGTCACCGACGGAGACTCACAGAGGAGCAGGGAGGTCAGATGATGGCAGGCTGCGGAGGAAGTGGTTCCGAGACACTGGGACGTCCCAGGCCAGGGAGACGCAGGAAGCAACGGCCAACATGTGTACCATCTGTGCAACTGTGAGGTCAAATCGGCTCTAAGATACCCTATCTCGTGAGAATCTATGTTCATAAAATAAAGCAGGAGCCCTAAAAATATAGTTGTGTAGTCAGATCCTATTCAGCCATCAGAGAATGATCCTAGGTGCGCAGTAGGCAGGGGTTTAGTTGAGCTCTCCTGGCGTGGATGCCGATGAAGATGGGGTTCCTCCTGTAAAGCAAAGAGATGGGTTGATGGGGAAAGAAACAAAGACGACATTTTTTATGAATTAAGAATTTTAACCTATTAATTTTAAGGGACGGAAAGCGCATATTTCTGTCCTTATTTTTCAGGACTACTGCTGAAGTCTACATGACAATGAAATGCACAGCCCTACCTACCTGCCCAATTCATACCTGGGAAATCTCCATCTCCACCTTGTGCACAGCTAGACAAGGCAGGGGCCCCGACCAAATTCTGGGCTGAGCCTGCACGTGCTGGAAAGGCCCGGCTGACCCAGACATCGGTGTGCTGAGTGGAGCTGACGGGGAGGGGGCGGGCAGGAGGGAGGCAACGGGGTCTCAGGGTCCCTGCGCTTCCCCAGCCCCAGAGGGCACCGCATGGCTCCTGCCTGGGCATCAATGTTGGCTCTTGCAAACTAGAAATCTGGGCCGGTGGCTATAGGCTAGCTTTCCGGCATGCCAAAAACACGGAGCCCAGCAGCAAAAATTGCAATAAGGGAAAAAACAAAAATAAACAAACAAACAAAAGCAAATCTGTGTCTCATGCCAGTTTCACTCATTTACTTATTTTCAAAGATTTCTTTATTTTGGGGTGGGGAGGGGCAGAGGGAGAGAGAGAGAATCTCAAGCAGACTCCGCACCGAGCATGGAGCTCAATGCAGGGCTCGATCTCAGGACCCTGAGATCACGACCTGAGCCGAAACCAAGAATCGGACGCTCAACCGACAGAGCTACCCAGGCACCCCAAGTTTCACTAATTTAAACACATGAATTACATAACATATGCAACGATTCTTTTCCTGATAGAAAGTTTATAAACTTATACCAATGCCAAATGATAACTCCTTGATTAGATCATACGTTTCGTTGGTGGTAAAGTAAATTCTCCCTGCTTAAGGCAGTGCAGAAAAAGCATGCTAAGCTCATCCTGCAATGTTGTGGGTGGGGAGTCTCTGTGCCCGCGGTGTGTGAGATGCTGGGCTGGAGTCCCCCCATGGTGTGGTCAGTCCTGCTCGATCACTGAAACCCGCATCGGTCACAGTGCATAATAAGATGCCCATCTCTGAATTAAAGCAAGGTATGTCTTATCATAAGAGAATAAAATAACCTTATACTGAAGTATGCATGGTCCTTCTCTTGCTACCTCCAAACTGTGCTTCTAAGACTCTAATCTTTTTTACAAGGTTTTATTTATTTACTTGAGAGATAGTGAGAGAGAGCACGAGCAGGGGAAACAGCAGAGGGAGAGGGAGAAGGAGAATCCCTGCTGAGCTGGGGCCAACATGGAGCTCGATCTCAGGACCCTGGGATCATGACCTGAGCCAAGACCAAAAGTCAGATGCTTAACCGACTGAGCCACCCAGGAGCCCCAAGACTCTAATTTTTAAAAAATTAGGTCCAGCTTGCAGTTAGAATACATGCAGTTTGGGGAAGGACGTCTTGGGCTGCCCAGCGGCTTCAGCTTCCTATTTGACTATGTCCATCGATATTTGTGTGTGTGAGACACTTCTCACATTTGGATGCAGTCAGTTTCTCTATAAATACTCACTTGGAGGAGGAGCATCTATAATAAAGAACAAATACATGAGTTGTTCAATTTAATAAAACAGAGTTGGTACTAAAAGAATTAGTACTTTTGGGCGCCTGGGTGGCTCAGTTGGTTGAGCGACTGCCTTCGGCTCAGGTCATGATCCTGGAGTCCCTGGATGGAGTCCCGCATCGGGCTCCCTGCTCGGCAGGGAGTCTGCTTCTCCCTCTGCCCTCTTCCCTCTAGTGCTCTCTGTCTCTCATTCTCTCTCTCTCAAATAAATAAATAAAATCTTAAAAAAAAAAAAAAAAGAATTAGTACTTTTAATAATTACTTAAAATGACTAAAAAACTGTATCACTTAAAACAAGAAGGCACAGAACACAATTAACATGGAAATGTTCACAAGTGCACTTCTTAGCGACATTGAGCGCGACCTTGTCACACATCCGTCATGACAATGGAGACGGGACACGGACATGTCATTGACAGAGCGGCCGGGCCAGTGTGGGGCCGGCGCTGAGCAGGTGCACGGACACCATCCCCCTCGCTGGGGTCGTTTGGGGGCTGGACGGGGAGGGCGGGCAGAGACCTTGCCGACAAACAACAACATGCAGCGTTTCGGACGCTTGCAGAGACGTAACCTCCTCCTTCCCTCTTAACCAAAGAAATGAAGCCTCAAGAGAAAAAACAAGCTGCCTACGGACAAACGGTCAATAATCACTGAGCCACAGAAAGTCAGCACCGTAGTCGATGGCCTTTACGACAGACGTGGCCAAAAATAAGACTAAGTCCGCCTGTCACTGGGACTGGGAAAAATCTGAACGAATATCGGATCTGTAACATCTAATGACAGGCACACTTATTTCCAAACTACTCAGAGTTTAAGAACAAAATGTAAGGAACGTGGGTAATGGAATAATTTCAAGTTTGAAGTACAAGTTCTGTTTACAGAACTGAGGGCTTTTTATGAAGCTGCCCCAGAGGGGACTGGCCGCCTACACATATCGTAGGGGCCAGGATCCTGTAGGTCCAATGAAGTATCAAAGGTTTTGACAGTTGGAAGAAAATGAAGGGGCGCCTGGGTGGCTTAGTTGGTTAGGCGACCGCCTTCAGCTCAGGTCATGATCTGGAGTCCCGGGATCGAGTCCCGCATCGGGCTCCCTGCTCAGCGGGGGGTCTGCTTCTCCCTCTGACCCTCCCCCCTCTCATGCTCTCTGTCTCTCTCTCTCACATTGTCTCTCTCTCAAATAAATAAATAAAATCTTTAAAAAAAAAGAAGAAGAAAATGGAAAGCCACGGAGATCATGACTTCTGCTATTCATGGGAATAAAGAGGAGAGCGAAACATATATGATCCTCCTGTGTCGCTGTAAGCATCATACTTCCATAGGATTTTCCATGGTTTTTAGATTACTCAGTGTGAGATCCAAAATGAGACAAGAAATCTCAAGGAACAGAAGCCTCAGCAAACTGGGACTGCAGGGTGCACTCACCGTGAACGTCCTTGGCGCCCCCAGGCGCCTCCAGGTCTGGGTCCGACCCCGCGTCCTGGCTCCCTTCGGGCTCTTGCATGGATGGAGATGGGGGGCCTGCCCCGGAGGTCTGCAGGGTCCTCTTCTCTGAGTCAGCTCGCTGCTGTAGCCACTCATCCCTGTACCCATTGCTGATAAGTTTGGAAAAGTTTGTGGGTGAACTGGCTTTTTGACCAGGCCTCAAAAAGAGAGAAATGAATGTCAAACCTCAGTAGAAAGGTTAATGATAGTCCAGACCAGGTCTTAGTGGGCGTGCTGATAATAACTGAGATGAGTTATTGTCCCTTAAACCATAATGGAACTATTTCTCTCTCTCTCTCTCGATCTCGATGTCCCTCTCTCCATTTAAAAAAGTTTTTTTATTTAAAAAACTTTTTTAAAGATTTTATTTACTTATTTGAGAGCGAGAGAGCATAAGCGAGAGAGCATAAGCAGGGTGAGCACAGAAGGAGAGGGAGAAGCAGACTCCCTGCAGAGCAGGGAGCCCGACGCGGGGCTCGATCCCAGGACCCTGGGATCATGACCTGAGCCGAAGGCAGATACTTAACCGACTGAGCCACCCAGGCGCCCCTCTCTCCATTTTTAAAAGTTCATTTTATTTATTTATTTATCGAAGTCATCTCTACACTCAACCTGGGGCTTGAACTCACAACCCCGAGATCAAGAGTCGCATGCTCTTCCGATGGAGCAGCCGAGCACCACCCTTTGTCCCTCTTTCTGAGCATAAGGAAACACACGTCCAATCATCCCTTTGCACCGGGTGGGAGCCTGCTTAGTTGTTTCTAAGACCTTTGTTCATGATAGCCAATTAGAGGATAATGCTGCATTACTGAGGGATGCCGTCTTCACAAAACAGCGCCCTTCCCCAAGTGGCAATCGGTTGCTTGGGCTCTACCATTTCTTTACCAAATTGTCACTTTCTTGATTAGCTCTTCCTTGACATTAAAGATTATCTGCTGTGGGGGCGCCCGGCTGGCTCAGTTGGTGGAGCACATGACTCTTGATCGTGGGGTCATGAGTTCAACCCCAGGCTGGGTGTAGAGACGACCTCAATAAATACATTAAAAAAAAAAAGATTATCTGGGGCGCCTGGGTGGCTCAGTCGGTTAAGCGTCTGCCTTCAGCTCAGGTCATGGTCCCGGGGTCCTGGGGCTGTGAACCGCGTCAGGCTCCCAGATCAACGGGGAGCCTGCTTCTCCCTCTGCCGCTCCCCCTGCTTATGCTCTCTCTCTCTTTCTCTCTAATAAATAAAATAAAAATAATAAACAAATACATAAAAGGCGAGCCTTGGTGAGGACGGGGTCCCCCTGGGGGGGTGTCTTGGGCAGGACACAGGCTCATGGACAGGGCAGCTGGTTGGAGAAGTTCAGCGCCCACATGGCACAGATGTGGAAAGGGGACAGCTGTGCCCCACGGGGACACGATGACACCAGGGGACGAGGCCAGGCCACGGGGGTGTGACATCGAAGTCACATCACTGAAACGTGTTCCCGGGAAGCGGGCATCATTTGGCCGCCATCAGCCCAGCGCCTTGCTGTCCTTACTGTCCCTTTGTCCCCCGGACGGAGGACCAAAAAGCCCAAACCCAAGCCCGCCCCAGACGTGTGGGGAGTGCCGTGCACTTACATGGGAGGGAAGGAGAGTCTGCCTCCTGCAGGGTCTCTGGAGCCGAGCGGGGTCCCCACTTTGCTCGGGTACCTGGAGTTAATGGCTGGGAGCCTCACCTGTGTGACAAGCACACAGAACCGTGGTGGAGGGACAGATGCTCAGAAGCTGAAGGAGGACAGTCCCAGAGAGGGGACAGGACACACGGGACAGGAGGACCCTGCGGCGGGGTCATGACTCTTTGGGCCAAAACCACGGGAAAACACAACTCAGCAAGCCTCCCCTGCGACAGTCACGCCCCAGACATGACCCGCGATTCCGCAGCGGCAGCTCGGCCTGGCTGCAAAGGGGATCGGACCTTTGGGGGCGACGGAATAGCTCTGGGCCTTCATGGCTTGTGGTGGCTACGCGCTTGTCGAAACCCGCAGAACAGTGCTCAGTAAGAATGCGGATTTCCTGCGTCTAAGTTACAGCATCACAGAATCGGGGAAAATGCTACAGAAAAACAGAAGAAAAACAACAAAGAGCAAAAAACCGAGCAAGCACACAGAGCCCACGAGGTACCGCCGGCATTTACCGGGGGGAGAAGGTGGCCTTTCAGAAAGCGGAGACCCGCTCCAGCCCAATCACTCTGGAGGTGAGTGAGACCCCACAATGCTGGTCATCCACGGGGAACACTGCCCTAAATATGGTCTCGTGTCTGCCACGTGCCAAGTGAGGGGCCAGAGCTGGGGAAGCTCCGTGTCCCCACTCCGCTCCCTGAGGCCCAGTCATGGGGGGGCCTGGGGGACATGGGGTGGGACAGCCAAGCACTCAGGAGAGCTGGGGCCGGACACCCATCAAATCCTAGCTTAATATTGTGCACGCTTCCATTCACGTTCAAGTTCACACTCTAGTTGTGCCAAAGGTCCCGTGGGACATAGGGAGAAAATAACACAAGAACTCCCCCCAAGTTCTGTGCAATTTGTGCTTCCCATGAGCTGTGTGCAGAAGCAGGTGAAGATAAGTCCGGGCTATCCAAACCCCCCCTAAAGGGGTGCCCACGTCCCCGGCTGGCACCCCACGCCTCATTCCTGTAACTCAATCGTCCGCCATGTTGGTGTCTTTAACCACAGCCCATTGGCACCCTGCCTCCTTAAGCATGGCAGCCCACACAGGCTTGCTTCCTGCCCTGGGTTCAGCCCCGCAGAGCTTTGGTCCGTGGCTCGGAAAGCCCACGGGATTTGGGGCTGGTACAGCACTTAGCATTTCAAAGGTTCCCCAGATGTGCACTGTGGCTGTGGTTACTCCCAAAGAGCCCCCTTATCAATCGACGGTGTAGGTGCTTACGTATCACCAAGACACGGACCTGGTCCTAAAAACAGCCCGTTTCATTGATCGTGCAGAGGAACCGAAGGCGGGACCACGGCTGGAGGTTGGGGGTGTTCTGAGGAAGACCACGCAGCCATGGCAGGACACCTGACATTCTATGTGGTGTTCAACTGCTGGAGTCCCCAAAATCAGCGTTTCTCCTCAAAGCAGGACACTGAGAAGCCAAGCTTGGGAGTCAGGCACAGACGGTTCAGGCCAGGAGACCCACTGTTTCTCTCCCTGAGTCCCAAGAGCTAAGACCTCAGTGCTGGAGCCTCGGTGGGCAATGCTCAGCCCTGGACAGTCAGGCTCCAGCCTGGGGATCGGAAGGCCTTGGAATCGAGACATCCCAATCACAAGGCCACCAACTAGAGATGGCCCTCCAGTTCATAGTTGCTCTTTTAAAGTATAAATAGGGGCACCTGGGTGGCTCAGTCGTTAGGCGTCTGCCTTCGGCTCAGGTCATGGTCCCAGGGTCCTGGGATCAAGCCCCGCATCAGGCTCCCTGCTCCAAGGGAAGCCTGCTCCTCCCTCTCCCCCTCCCCCTGCTTGTGTTCCCTCTCTCGCTGTCTCTCTCTGTCAAATAAATAAATAAATAAAAATCTTAAAAAAAAAAGTATAAATAAATAAAAACTTTAAAAAATAAAAAAGAACTGTTAATAAAAAAAAAAAAAGAGTATTCCAGGGAAATCTTCACTTAAAGACAGATTTAGAGACTGGATAATGAGTAAATAAAAAATGTCCTTCCTATACATGCTGAATGAGAAGGGCCAGACCACGGCTACCCTAGATAAGCATTAACTAGTTAAAACTGACTTAGTACAAGGTAATCTTGTAGAATCAATACTCTTAAAAAGAAAAAAAAGTAGTATTATCATGGCCTCTTGCCTTTTAGTCAATTCAAATTTAACATACAGAGCCAGGGCGCCTGGGTGGCTCTGTGGGTTGAGTGGCCGACTCTTGGTTTGGGCCCAGGTCCTGATCTCAGGCTTGTGGGATGGAGCTGTAGGGCTCCCTGCACAGTGGGAGTCTGCCTGAGACCCTCTCTGCCCCTCCCTCCCACACAAGTGCTCTCTCTCTAAAGACACCCAGAGTCAGCTTATTCGGGGAGTGGCAAGCATGGTGACGCAGCCCACAGCCCGGCGGGCGCCCGCCCCTCACCTTTTTCTTCTTTTCACGTTCCTCCGCCTCCCTTTGCCAAACCGTTTTCACATCATGGTCAAAAGGCCCTCTTCTGGACTCGTAGTTACTGTTGGTGTGATCGGGGTTAAACTCTTCATAAACCATGTAATCCGGCATGGAGACGGCGGGCATCCTGCAGAGACAGGTGGAAGAGCTCCAACCGGATACCCCTTCCTCCCCTCTCTGTCCTCCCCTCCCTCTTTCATCCTCCCTCCCCTCCCTCCTCCCTCCTTCCTATTCCTCTCCCTCCTCCCTTCCTATTCCTCTCCCTCCTCCCTCTCTCCTCCCTCTCCCTCCTCCATCCTTCCTATTCCTCTCCCTCCTCCCCCATCCTCCCCTCCCTCCTCCATCCTTCCTACTCTTTTCCCTCCTCCCCTCCCTCCTCCCTACTCCTCTCCCTTCTCCCCTCCCTCCTCCATCCTTCCTACTCCTCTCCCTCTTCCCTCCCCCTCCTTCTTTCCCCTCTCCCTCCTCCCTCCTTCCCTTCTCCCTCCTCCTTCTCCCTGCTTTCACACAGTAAACACCATCTCTTCCCTCCTCCCACACCAGCTCTTGCAGACCATCCGTCCTCATTCCACTGAATGAACAGCTAACGCTTCCCGGGGCCTGCTTCCCAGAATTGGGAGGCCAAGTCAGAAATCACAGGTTGCCATTCTCAATAAAATGAGAGTATATTAAATTACGAATTATTGAAGCAGATAAATTATAAACAAATTATTTGTTATATCATCTACTACTTTGTCCTCTTAAAATACCTAGACCCCCCTCAACATTTACCATTTCACACTGTCATTTCAAAACAATAATACCCTTTTCCTGTTTTCTGTTTGATGATCATTTTCTTAAAGACTTTTATTTATTTATATTTAGAGAGAGAGAGATAGGGGTGGAGGGAGCACGCAAGCAGGGGGAGGGGCAGAGGGAGAGGGAGGGAGAGAATCCCAAGCAGATTCCGCACTGAGTGCAGAGTCCAACATGGGGCTCGATCGCACGACCCTGAGATCATGACCTGAGTCGAATGCTCGAGCGACTGAGCCACCCAGGTGTCCCTAATGGTCATTTTTAATATAGTACTTAAACTTCCGGCCTGGTTTCCTGTCTCCACTGGAAAGCACTCAGGCCAGGAGCAGGGGTGGGGGTGGGGGATGTGCACCTGCCTGCATTCTCCTATGTCACCACCCCCCCCCCCAACACTGCCCAGGGGCTAAGGGCTAAAGGCTGGGACTTTATCCTGGCAGCAGTGAGGGGCAGTGAGGGGGCAGGGACAGGGGAAGGTGCCGGCCAGCAGCTGGGGGGAGGGGAAGGAGGGCCAGCCCTCCTGGATGCCTGGGCTGCTTGAGCAGGGGAATGGAGGGATGCAGATGGAATCAGCAGAGCAGTAGGAAGCACAGAGAGAAAAGGGGGCTCCCACTGACCCTGACACCTAGGGAGGAAGGGAGCTGGAGGCCCCTGAGGAAGCCGGTGGAGAGGCCAGGGAGCAGAAGTCAGAGGCTGTGAATGCAGGCTCGGGACGTGACCCCAGTGCCCAGGAAGAGAAGCCTGCAGGTGTGGGTCCATCTGCTTCACCGCAGGGACGGTGGAGCCAGCCCTCCTATGTTTAGGGCTCTCTTCGGGCAGGGAGAAGCCCCAGAGCCCGGAAGGGAGGGCTGGAACTCACCGCAGAAGGGACAATTTCCACTGTGGCTCTTGGGCTCCCCACCTTTCTCTCTATATCCCCCATCCCCGCACCCTCAGAGTGCCACCAGGGGGCCTGGAACTCACCGCAGAAGGGACAATTTCCACTGTGGCTCTTGGGCTCCCCACCTTTCTCTCTATATCCCCCATCCCCGCGCCCTTGGAGTGCCACCAGGGGGCCTGGAAGATTGACAAGGACACACAGGGTGGGAGGGACAGCCATGCTCCCTGCTTCCTCACCAGGGACAGCCACGGACACGGTGGGAGGGGCAGTCCACGGGGCCAGGAGGAAGGCAGGGGGGCATGCCTACCGGCCCTCCCAGAACACCCAGTCCACGGGCTCGGGCCACGGCTGGAGCAGCCACCTCCTGGGCTCTGCAGAAGGCCACACGGTGTCCTTCTCAGTGTCCACACAGCCACAGGACGGCGGGGCACCCCTTGGCCTCGTGTCCAGCTAAGGGACAGGCCACGGGCTGGATAGAGAGCGCAGAAACCCGGCCCCACCGGCCCCCTCCCCAACCACCCCCCCTCCGTGGCACTGGGTCTCTGGAAGCTCCCCCTGGGGCATGCAAGCCCTCTCCTGCCCTCTTCTCTCTCCTCTCTGCTCTGCTCAAATCAGAGGTCAGCTGTGTTGGCCGAGTGGGAGCTTTAAATTACAGCGGGGGGAGCCAGGAACCCCCGTAATTTACATTCTGGGGGACGGTGGTTCCCCACAGCTCTGTAATCACCACAGGGACTTGGGGTTCCCTGCACTTCTGGCTTCGCAGGGCACCTGCGTCCTTTGGGGCGAAGAACACTTTGCCAGCCGCTGGTTCTAGGAGGTCTATGCGGCTACTGGCCCTGGAAACACAGGACAAAGCTTGAAGCCGTGTCCCCTAAGCAGCCCCAGAGGCCCAGCCCTGGGACCCCTGTGCTGTGATCCTTCTTCCTGCACCCCTGACCCACCGTTGGCTGTTGTACCACTCTCAGCGTCCCCATTCAAGATCTGTTGATTTAAAATGCAGAGTGAGGGGCGCCTGGGGGGCTCAGTCGGTGAGGCGCCGGGCTCTGGCTCCGGTCATGATCTCAGGGTCCTGGGATCCAGCCCAGCAGCGTAGGGCTCCCTGCTCAGCAGAGAGTCTGCTTCTCCCTCTCCCTCTGTGCTCTCTCTCTCTCGCTCTCTCTCTCAAATAAATAAGTAAAATCTTTAAAGATTTTTAAAGATACACTTAAAGAAAAACGTAAATGCAGAGTGAGCTACTTTCTCCCTGTAAAGACGAGCCAGGCGGCCTCGAGATACTCACGGTCTCTGCTCGGCCGTGGGCGGCTTGCCGTGGTGGATGTACCAATCCGGCAAGCAGTAGGCCACGGGGGAGCCTTTCCTGGTCCCGGGGACGACGTGCTTCAGCAGATCTCAAAGCCAAAAAGACGCCGAGGTGAGCACGCGCTGCGAGTAGCAAGCAGCTTAAGGCAGCTTACTGGGAAGCGGGGACTGGGACTTCTCCTAGGGTCGCCTCTGGGCTCCCCGCCCCCCGGTGCACAGGTGGGGATGTGCAGGTCCTGCTTGGTGTTCAGGAGGGGCATCCTTCATGCCCCTCTGAGCCCAGATCTTGCCCTGCTCCCGAGATTCCATTCCAGGGGGACATCTGTGGGGACAAAACCCCTCAGGTCCCGGGGGAGGCTGCTTGCTGGTGGCCCCCTCAACGACCCCCACATGTCTGCCACCATGCAGCTGTCCCTCACCTCCCACAGCGTTCTGGGGACAGGCTGCTCCTCCAGGTTCCAGGGACGTGGGTGAGGGAAGATGGTAATCAGGGCTCCCCCTTTGGCGCCCCCCGAGAGGAACAGAACACGAGGCTCCTTCTCCTCTGAGACCCACCTGGCTCCCGGGCCACTTGCCTGCTCTGAGGCTTCCGGTGCCCCCTCCAAGGGCTTGGTCATAGTTGGGGGCTGGCAGGCGGGGAGGCGGGACCGTCCGGCCCTGCCTGCTCATGAGCTAGCAGGCACCGAGTTCTTACCATCCGTAGGAAATGTTTAACATTGTATTTCGCTTTAGATTTTGCAATATTTCAGACTAACAGCAAAGTTGCAAGAATAGCAGGGAACCCCCTGTTCCCTCTCCCCAGAGGCTCACATCTGCTTCATTTCTTCCTCCCTCCCCACTTCATTAGTACATCACTGTTACTGCCGTTTGGGGAGCAGTTTGGGAGCCTCTCGCAGACCTGAGGCCCCTTTGCCCCCCTGGACTTGGGTGGAAGGTTCCAGAAGGCGGGTGTTACACAATGACAGTGCCCGGATCCACACCGGGAAGTCAGTGCCGATGTCATCCTCTTAGCTAACTTGCAGGTCCCATCTAGAATTTGCCCGCTATCCCAGGAGCTTTCTCTTAACCCGAAGCTGGGGAGCGGGAAGGAGAGTGGAGGAGCATTGCAGGTCCTGTCCTGGGCCTGACTTGGGAGTGAACAGGACGATGCACTCTGGGCTCTTGAACATCCAAGCCCAGGTGTTGCCGTGCTGTTTCCCACCGCCCGTGACAACCTCCTGGGGAAGTATGGTGGCCAGGAAACAGGACAGGAAAGGCGGTGGCTCTCAGCAGCCCTCACCACAGGGGCTGAGCCCTGCCCCTCATCAGCCATCTGTATGAGCACAACCAGGCAGCACGTTCTTGGTTAAACCGTGGACCAAGGTGGATGCTCATCGGCATCGCCACTGAAACTCATCTGTGGCCTCAGTGTTGAAACCACACGCACACGCGGGACGAGGGCCATGAGCATACACCGCAGGACCCCGCGCTCCACCAGCTCGCGACCTGGTTGCAGGCAGGGACTCTCTGGGGAGGTGGACAGCTTCCGGAGACCCTCTGCACCTGGACCACAGGATGGGGGCGGGGACCCTGCAATGGTGTCGCTCACAAGCCAATTCTGCAATTTCTGTCTTTTCGGTCTTTGCGGTAAAAAGTAGACATCCTGCGGGCCACACACATCCCAGGCTGTGTTGTGACCCTCGATGTCCACTGGCCTTGGGCAGAACTCAGAGATGTTACAGGTATGTTCACATGGAAGCCACGAGAACCAAAACCACCCCTGACCCATGCAGGAGAGACACTGGGGCGTGCATGGGGTGCTTACCGGGCTGGCCGCCTTGCTTCGCGAGCTTCACGTACTCCGAGTCTGTGTCTTTTATCCAATACCTCTGCAGCCCAGGCACGTGCCTGTTGGGAGGCTCCCTCAGATCACTGAGGCCCGGGAGCTGGGAGGCCGGTGGGACGTCCACGGGCTTGTCGGACTGCTTCGTGGGAAGGTCGTAATACCAGTCTAGAGAAGAGGAGGCCAAGGGCCAACTTATTACACAGAGTTCAGGTTGGCTTGCTGCACTGCCTACCACATAGCCATAGCAGAGAGAGCATCTCAGCCTCCACAGGACATCAGCACAAGAGAGTCAGTCCACCACAGGACATCTGTACAGGAGACATCACCACAGAACCTTAGCACAAGGGAACCTAACACAAGACATCTGCATGGGAGACATCACCACAGGACATCAGCACAAGGGAACCTAACACAAGGCATCTGCATGGGAGAC